GACACAGAATACAAATAATTTACAGACCAGACATATTTACACAAACTAACATATAATGTACAAAATTTCCTTTAAAAATATATTTACAATGTATATTTACAAATATGAGATGTATACACAAGTGCAACTGTGCGCATATTCAGGATGTGCAATTAAGTATCACTTGCAAATATTGAGAGTGTTGAGTATGATGTTTTACTATAATGTCATGTCCTTTATCAATCACGTGTCATTCAGTCTCCTCTCCCTGCCCAGAGGAGAGTTGTTGTGTATTGTGGCATTGTGACAGTGGGTAGGAAGGACTTCTTGTAATGGTCCTTGCTACAGTGGAGTTGTAGGAGTCCACTGTAGCATGTATGTGTGTGTGTGTGTGTGTGTGTGTGTGTGTATCTTCGCCATGAGGGGAAGAGACTCTGACCAGCGAAAACAGCATGAGTGGCAAGGTGTGTTTACAAACAAAATGGTATTATATTAGTGTATACTGACGCTGTAAATAAATTGTGTGTTTTGTACTTTTCTGCTGACTTAGAGGGGAGATACAGGTGTGGGAATTCCTGGTGTGTGTTGGGGGGGGTGTCATTAGATGACAGTGGCTTACTGATTTCTTTCATAAAATATTAATTCTCAGTTCCTGTACAAAGTGTTGGGCAAATTATATTTTGTAAATGTATTTTGTGTTTTCTGGTAAGTTCAAATATTTTACCATGACTTTATGACCTTGTGCGTTGTGTGGCAAAATTAATGTATTTATTTATATTTGGTTTTTATTTTCTCTATTTAGAAAAGGCCACTACTGTTATCTAGAGTTGACTGTTGTCAAGATTTTGGTGTTTTCTAGACGTTGTTGTTTTCTAGACTTTGTTGTTGCTCTCCAAAGCCTGTAAGTGATTGAATCACTTTCTTCTCACTCAATTGTTCTCTAGGGCTTTGTGATGTTGTGTTTCCATGGCACACGGGATTTGTTGTATGATTGTGATGCTTTGGTGTGTGTGTTCTCTGCATGCAGTTTGCTTGTGTGGGTGTGTATATGTATGACTGGTCGTGGCAGTCCTGGGAGGCGATCAAAATAAAACTAAGCTGGGCGTGTAGGTCCTGGATAAGCTGCTGGATTTGACTAAGCTGACAAGCGAGGTTGTGGAGAGGTGGGTCAGTAGGTCCGTGACTCTGACACACACCCGCTAACAAACACACTTAATTACACAACTCTGTCAATAACATTTCTATTCACGCACTCAGAGGCAGGCAGGTAATGTAAATACACTCAGCTGGAGTGTGTTATGCTTGGCTGAGACTAAACTGCATTGCGGTGTCTGGCTCCAGTTTCATGTGCAGATTAAACATAAGGTGTGTCTTTTGGTGGATGCTTTTAATATTACCTATCTCTATAGTATTTCAGAACAATATCAGTCCCCAAAGAATGTTGTTGTCAGTGAAAACTAAATATCACAGTGTCTCTTTTGCTATTGCTAATGCTATTGTACCAGTGTATAATTCAATTCATTGACCAGATGGATTTTGGAAAATATTTTAGGAGAGAGAGAACGAAGCAGGAGATTGGCAAGGCTGCTGATTCTCAGGTCAGTAGTGGACTACATGTCAGTAGTTTTTGGCATGTCTAGGCACCTAGGCATCACCTAAACTAAATTATATCATGATATTTATTATCTTTGCTATATTCTGACCCATTTAACTTTCTGCATTCATTGGCTGTAATAAAATAAATAAATATGTAGATGTTGCCTGAATGTAGGCTAGGATATCCATGAGCATATACCCACAGATACAGATACACACAAGAAAATATAAGAAAATGAAAGCAATCATACATACATGCATAATCGTTGCTCCAAATCTTTTATCCCTTTGGCCATCAGGTTATTAAATTCAGACAGTAGCCACTTTAAACAGGATCCTTATTAACAGCTTACGTATGTATACTTGTATGAAACCAAACCACAGAGCAAAATCACACTCTGATTGAACCAAGGTACAGTGCAGTAACAGTAAATACTGTAATTAAATAACCTTCTTTGGACCTGCAACTTATCTAATAGAGAGATGAATTATATATGGTATTACTTTATCACACATTTACAAGAGTAGCTGGACAGCATTTAAGTCATAGCCTACAGAAGAACTCAGTCTGGCCTGAGTGAATTCCCCCCATGCAGCTATGATGTGTCTGAAAGCTAACATTACAGTAACTTTGATCAACAGAGGAGAATGGGGGAGAGAATATATCGCTTTTTACTGGTTGTTCACTGGTTGTAAGTGTAGTTCTAATACAACAACAAAAGATGTGAGTGTAAAAATTTTGCAAGCGCAAGGTAAGAATTCCCTGAAGGTAACCCAGGAGGAAGGCAAGCTGGTGGAGGCAGTGTGATGCTTTGGGCAATGTTCTGCTGGGAAACCTTGGGTCCTGCCATTCATGTGGATGTTATTGTATTGCAGACCATGCACACCATTTCATGGAAACGGTATTCCCAGACGGCAGTGGCCTCTTTCAGCAGGATAATGCTCCCTGCCACAAAGCAAAAATGGTTCAAGAAGGGTTTGAGGAACACAACAACGAGTTCAAGGTGTTGACTTGGCCTCCAAATTCCCCAGATGTCAATCCAATCAAGCATCTGTGGGATGTGCTGGACAAAAAGTCCGATCCATGGAGGCCCCACCTCACAACTTACAGGACTTAAAAGACCTGCTGCTAATGTCTTGGTACCAGATATTACAGCTCACCTTCAGAGGTCTAGTGGAGTCCATGCCTCAACAGGTCAGGACTGTTTTGGTGGCAAAAAGGGGACCTACACAGTCTTAGGCAGGTGGTCATAATTTTATGGCTAATCAGTGTAGATGCAAATGGTGGCGAAGATGCGCCCTTCAACCAGAATGAACTGGTTATGTGTGAGTATTTCTCCATTTGGAGAATCCACTTCTGGAACTCAGTCCAAGACCTACTATATATTGAAATGGCACTGGAGCTAACATGGAGTTACAGAGCTACCCAAAGTCTTTTCCTATGTCTCCCTTCCCCCTCAGCAGTCAGGGAGCTCCAGAAGGGAAGCAGGATGCTTTCCAAGATGCTCATCCCCTTCCATATTCTCCTTTTCTATGCTTTGCGTGTGTTGGTAATTGAGCAGCAGTCAGATGGTTGGACAAACCTGTCTTACAAACCTGGGATTTGGCCAACAGATTACTCTGAAACACACTGGATGGCTGGCAAGGATAAGCCCCCCATGGAGGCTTGCTTTGATCTGCTGTGCAAAAACCTCCTCATTATTGTCTATTCAGCCTCTACATGACGATTATTCATTGTATGAGAAACTGGTGGGTTGGGCTCAGCGGTTAAAGCCTTCATTTGCTCTTACAGTGTAATTACTGTACAGGGGTTTGTGTCTCGAACCACAAATAAAGACAATGACAAGGTGATAGGTAGGTAAACAAGGGTTTCAAATGTTTTATTCCTTTAATATCAATGGCAAATATAAATTGCTGCTCCACAATTCTCTCTTAAATTTTTGCCCCTTCTACATTTGAAATATTTTTTTTTTGACTTTGTCCAAATTCTCCAATTCTTAAAAATTAAGTGCACAAAATGCCCTCCTTTAAGTTGTTGTTCAACAAACAGACATTTCTGAAGAAGAAAGGTGGCAGGCGACGACGATGCTCATGAAATTATGATGGGTGTGTCTGTGCGGTGTAATGGATGAAAGCACCACGCCTGAGACAGTCACATTGAAAAGGAATGGCCTTTGTGATACATGTCGATATATCATATACACTCATAAATGTCATATTCTGTTGGGTCATACATTTGTGTCTGTTTTAAGGCATTTTTAGCCACTTTGTATGCAGGGATAAAAAGGTGCAACAAAAACAAAACAAATATACAAATGAACATTGAGTTTCCCCTGATGCTGAAACCTGTAGCTTAAACAACTGGTCTGACTGTAGTCTTGTTCTTTGAGGGATTCCACACCTGCTTCTTAAGGCAGATGCTGAGCGCACCAGGGTCTTTTTTTTTTTTTTTTTTATTGGGGAAGTGAGGAGCAATAGTTGCATGTGATCACTGACACATACACTACCCCCACCACACGCCCCTGCCTCTCCTGCACCATGGATGCCAACGCAGCATGTGGAGGAGAGAGTCACGCACGCACACGTCGATTGGCGAAAGATAAGACGACAGGCCATGGATGGGAATAAGGAGGAAACAGGAGACTCCCATAGACAGACATCAATGCTTTGGGTAATACATAAAGTCTTTGTCGAGGACTTTTTTTTTTTTGCATTTTACTAGTAAACAAATGAACAGAAACATAGCCTTACAATTTTTTTTAAACCACCCACCCTCTACAACCCCCAAAAATTCTCTCTGAAGACGGTGACGAAATAAACACACACGTTTGCACAGGCATTCACCGACAGACATTTCAGTGAACACACCTGCCCACTCACACCTAATATTCCACACATTTCCCCGTTAGTCCCCCTAATAGCGTGGCTAAACAGTTCCTCTCCGTTTGAAAAAGGTTTCAATTTGACAATAAAAGCAGCATTCCACACTCAAAACTAAACAACCCTATATCTATTTTTCTGATTCATCTTCATGCTTTAACTGAGATTTGCAAGTGGTGGCTGCAGGAGCGGGGAGGTTTCCTTTGGCACCGTGCTGCCACACTGCAGGGTGGAGGACATCTACATTCAAGAGCTGCAATCCTCTCCCTGCCCGCGATGATTTGGAACCAAAAACAAAAAGGGCTAAAATCTCACCTGGTGTAAGCAGCCATTTTGTTTTTTAAGGTTTCCCAGGCACCGAGATGGGCGAACAGGAAACACACCTTTTGCCAGAGGAATCATCACCGCCACTCAACCTGGCCACCGACTCCTCTCTTTTATACTTTTTTTATTCACATTTTTATCAATTATTCCGATTTTTTGTCCTTTTATTCCCCCCGTTAAAGGGCAACATGGCTTTGAAAACAGAAGAAAAAAAGATCATCAACCACAAAGAAAACATTTTATTTTCTAGGAGCACCGTGTCGAACAGACACAAAAGCCTCGAGGCACAAGAAACATTTCTAAATATTCTATGGACTGACTAGGCTGTGCAAACAAACTACACGTTGGAAACTCTCAATAAACCTCACAGGAACATAGGCTATGACTAATTAAATATATTTATATATTCATCTAGATATTTAGTATATGTAATAAATACATTTGCTGATAGACATAGAGATCTTTCTGTAAACTATTTACATTTAAAGGTGTACATTTTTTGCAGAAACAATAAATAGCTATGAAGGCAAGGCAAAGGAGAGAAAATCTGTTGTTTTAACATTTTGGTGCTTTTCATTTGTGAACACAGAGAAAGAGTTGGGCCTTTCTCAGTGTGTTCCCACTGAAAAGTTAAAGCCAGTCCTTCTGTTTCTCGACTCGGCTCGTCTCAAACTGAACTCTCCCTTCATAAATAATTGGCAGGAACATCCACTCGCAAAAAAATAATGCTCTCAATCTCACCTGCCTGTCCTCTCTACATAATGGAATGTGCTCCAGTCTCTCGACTGCTCTCAGGGGATATGCTCTTTCCTTCCTATTAATACCTGGTGAAGGGGGCAGTGAAGAAGTAGTGTACAAAAATTTACCAGCACCTGCCGAAATATACCAGCATTCGGCCTGGTGGCTGGTGTTTAAAGTTTCCAAACCTGCTAGTGACCCCTGTCGTCGCCAGGCTCAGACGTGACATACATACATTATGATAAATGGATGCTTTAAAAACGCCACAGTCATCAGAGAGAGGCAAAAAACATCAAACCCACCCCAAAACCCTCCCACATACCCCGGCCCCTTCACAATCTCATGCTGAACTAATTTTTTGTTGTTGTTGATTTTGTTTTTACTTTTTCCTCTGAATGGCAGGTGTGGACAGAAAATTACAGGGTAGTTATGAGCCTGCCTGCCAAAGCCTTGGTAATAAGGGGCGTATTGCTGTCGGACCCTGACGGTTAAACAACACACACAGTCTAGTTTAGTTTCCACAAACTCTGCTGTGCTCTGCAGCACAGCTGTGGCGTAGTTTTCCCACTTCATCTGGCAACATTACTGCAACAGCTGTAGTGGGAGCCTTTAAGTTTTGTAAGAGACCGGAAAGTGCAAAACACCGTGGCTGACTGGTGAGCAGGCCAGAAAGAAAGCCTGACATCATGTCAGCGTCACACCTTTTGGGAGGACTCTGTCTCATTGGACAACTAGGAGCGATGGAGGGGTATGTGTATGTGTGTTTAAGTTTGTGTGAAGTAAGGGTGAAATCAAGTGCTTCCCATGGCTCTTGAGGCATAGAAAAAGAGGCAGTGGGATATTGTGTGGTAACATTCTCTGGCTGAAAGTTGTGTTTCTGACGGACGGAGGGGTGGAGTGTCTTTAGAATCCTTGTCTGACTGGTGCAGAGCAAGTGACACCCTAAAGACTGACCGCTGATGATGTGCTGGATGTGGGCGGCTGTCTCAGAGGTGTTGCAGTCTTTAATGGAAATCTCCGTGGGGACAGGAAGTCCGCAGAAGCCCGGCTGGAGGAGAGGCCTCAGACTCGATTAGTCCTGGTTGGGATGGAGGGAGGGAAGGGGATGAGGTCTGAGCGGGACCAGGAAGTGGCGAGACAATCTTGTGATGGGATTGGCTGAGGCCGGGAGGCGGGAGTTGGGTCAGTAACCAGTGCTGTCTATAGGCTGCAGCCCAGCTGCTTGGCCGTCTCCTGAGTGTCCTGCAGGCGCAGCAGGCTGGCGCTGGAGTAGCCCTCGTCGCTACAGCTGCTGCGCAGGCTGCCCCTCTCATCCCCTGAGTCGCTCACACTGCTGGTGCTCCACTCCAGGTCACCCAGCAGGTAGTCCGTCCCCTCCACGTCCACATCCAGGTCTTCTGTTGGAACAAAAAGACACCACTGTGATATGGCTGAATGATTCAATTCAATACTATCATTTATCAATACAAGTTTTTCTGAAGGTTGCTCAAAAGCTCATTTTACTACTTTAATCTTTCCTGAGCAAACAAGGCCGGGTACTACCTCTTCAGTCATTTCTTCTAGCACCTGGACTGCAAGACCCTGTGTACATAATACTTTTTGCTTTGCACCTTCAGCAGCCCCCCCCCCCCCCACTATACCTTGATAGTATTCTAAATGTGGGGGGTGGTGATGAGGCAGTGGATAAGGCGCATGCTTTGGTGTTCAATCCCCTACTGTGACACATCCACCAGTGTGTCCCTGAGCAACACACTTAACCCCTAGTTGGCGTGCGACCTCTGACATGTATAGCAATTGTAAGTCGCTTTGGATACAAGCGTCAGCTAAATGAGTAAATGTGGTTAACATAGATTACATTAATGCTTATCTTTGATGGTCATATTATACACTACAGTAGATCATTTAGTTTAGTGATTTATTTTCTGATGATCCAAGCAGGCTCATATACAACACATAGTCATTTTGATGGAGGGATCATAACCTGCCTGACTGACTTATTCTGAATTATTTCTCAAACCCTGATACTATTATTTGTATTCCTATCGTTTTTGCTCATTGCATTTATAAAGACTGCCTATGACTTGAGAGGACACACTCTGCATTGTCAAATCTTACAACATTTTAACATGTTATTACAGATTATTTTGGTGGACGGCAGCTGTGAGACCTCTGTACTAACAGTGAAACAATGATGTGCCACAACACTATGTTACTGTTTGCTGCATTCTTAACACTGCAGATTACACTGGATTTATTATTAGTTTGACAAGAGGATTGACAAGATTTGACAAGAGAATGTATAATTTTTATTTTAATAAATAATTATTTTTAATAAATAATTTAGTAAACAGAACGAGTTTAGATTGTTTAGTTTAACAGAGACTCCAAAACATAAACTTTATTGCGCATATTCAGCAGTCTTTTCTCAAGACAAAGATAACAGGCGCTCGAGAGACTTATAGTAATGATAATTAGCCCTTTTTGTTTTGAATGATCGGCCAAACAGCCCCCCCCTCCCTCCATCGTCTTTTCATTATTGCATATTTTGATTTATGATAAGACAGCTGTTGGCTCTGGGGTTGTTTGAGCTTCTCACAACGCGACGATATCACTTACAATCTCTGAATAATTACATAAATAAAACATCCAACCCATTGAAAAGACACAAATGACCACAGTAGCGTAAGTAACATATAATTTGTTCTCATCTGCTTTCATGGAGAGCAGTGAGTGTGTCGTGTCTGCGTGCCTGGGTGAAGGCTCACCTTGGTCAGAGTCGGACTTGTCAGAAGACCGAGTGGAGCCGGTACTGTCCGTGCGGGTTCTCTCCACCCCCAGCTGCTCCAGACGCCTCCTCAGGTGTCTCTGCTCCCGCTGTAGCTGCTCCACGGTGTGCTGAGCTCTCCTATCGCTCTCCTCCAACCTCTGCAGGGTGAGGAGGGGAAAAAAGTTGGGGAAAAAGTTGCTGTGTGTGTTTTCCCTCAGTGGCTTATCTAAGAGCTTTTAGTCACTCAGTCACACACTGCTAACACACTTACCCAAATTGCCCTCTTCACACTGATTAGGTGAGTACCAGACACACACACATATATATATATACACACATATATATATACACACACATACACACATATATATATACACACACATATATATACACACACATATATATATACACACACATATATATATACATATATATATATATATATATATATACATACACACACATATATATATATGTACACACACACATATATATATATGTACACACACCTTGATATGATCTTTGGCCTTCATCAGCAGGCTGAGGGTGGTGTGCCTGTTAGCATCTGGTCCTAAGGGAACGAGGGATTTCAAGCGCTCTAAACACAGCCGTAGATGTGCCCGTCTGAAGAGAGAGCAGAAGAAACAAAGAGAGACAAACTGTCAAACATCATTAGCATTTTTTCAAGTCAGATCCACACAAAAAACAAGCATGTAATTTGTTGTGTGTGAAAGTTCATAAATGGCCTTGGAAATGAATAGAATACAAACAAACAAAAAATAACTCGTGGTCCACTTCCTTAATGTTTTTTTTCTGGAGCTTTCTCATGGTCTTCATCAGTGGAGGGAGTTTGCTCAATTATATGATGACAACTGAGCCATCTCATCGTGACGATGTGCGGATGAAGACCATGAGATGCGGTTGAAAGCTTATGCAAAAAGCTAGCAAGTTGATCTTGATTTTTATTTTAACGTCAAACGTGATTAGTAATTGATGCAAGGCTGCATAAAGCCTTAAGTAGCTTACTTATTATAAAGGCTTGTCTTGAATTTTTCATTACTATTTCCAATAAGATATCAAATAAATACCTTTTTCAATACCTTACTTTACTGTTTTTTGACCATGCAAGTGCCTCAGCTCTAAAGGATGGCAATGCCGGTCGGTTGGCCCACCTTTCTGGTCCTGACTGAAATACCTCAACAACCAATGGATGGATTATCATGAGGTTTAGTGATTCCTTAACTTTCATTGAGCGCCATCATCAGGTCAAAACCGAATCCCTGCAAACCTAATTATGCGCCCATCACCCTCACAGTGCTTCGTGTTCAAAACTAAGTTGGTCAACATTGTCATTGTGAGCATGTCAGCATGCTGATGTTAGCATTTGGCTCAAAGCACCAACTACTACTCATGTTATTCAATAGTCTTGTTATACAACAGAAGCCTAACCTCTAAAATGTTAAATATTGTCGACACACAAGCAGCCTTACAAGCACTGTGCCTAAATACAATACAGTCTATTATTAAAATATTATTATGGTCTGATTAAAGAATAAGTAAAGTGTGTATCCGAGTATGCACTCAATGCTATGTTTAATATTTGACAGTTTCAGTACTTTTATTGTATTGCAACAGACACATTTTTGGCTGTACCAAAGAAGTATTCAAGTACCCCACCCACCATAACACATCACTGATGTAACTTTGGGATCAATCGATATAGAAAATAAATATCAGCCAAAAGGAATTCTGGAGAATCATTCCCCAAACAACAGGGAAAAAATAAAAGAGCTTCCTCTGAGCTACTGTGTGTTTTGGTTACTCAGGTTTTTGATACAAGAGTTACTCACTCACATTAAGAGGTAGTGATGAGATTCTCCTGTGTATGTCTTCAACATTGTAACATTATGACATATTGTTGCTACATAACCTGTGTAGTAATATCCTATTAGGATATTTCATTGAGCTGATCCTCCCTTGACAAGAAGAAAACAGAAATGTGCTTAAATCCAATCATCATCTGTGACATATGTCTAGATCTGAACTCATTATTAATGTCACCTGTCCTACAACAACCCCCCCGCGCGTGCGCTCTCAGCTGCTCTAAGCTGGCAGCCTTGGCAGTTGCTAAGGTCTGGTGGGTGTTTGTGACCACTTGACCCCACTGTTACACAACACACACCTCCAGCTCCAGCCTCGGCGGAGTGTGTACGTGTCTGTATGCCTGTGCATGCCTCAGCGAGTGGGCGTGTGTACGTCAGACTCTTCCTGAGAGCGGCTGTAAAATCGTTTTTTTCGGTGGTAGAGGGCTGGCTGGATGAGTTGTTCATGTATTGTCCGCTGCAGGTAATCCTGAAGTGAACGTCACGGCCCAAAAGAGTTTATTCAAATCAAAATACTTATTTTACTGTGCGCAGCGAATCCACATAATATATTCGCACCCCCTTTGCCCTTTTAAACACGCACGCGCGCACGCACACACACACACACGCACACACACACACACACACACACAGCAAGTGGATCCCACACACCCACAAAAAAAAGCAGTAGTCAGCGGCTGAAACCAAGTGCCTGTTTCTCAGCTGACTCAGTCCAAAGGGCAGATTGTCATTACATAACATGGAAATGCCCTTGCCTGTGTTGTTCTGACATAATAAAGGGATCAGCAGGGCTACATAATGTTTGTTAACGAGCAGCAGACTCATGAAACGGCACAGGTCACATGGTATCTAAGTGGGAGGAAAACACTGCGGACATTTCAGCAGCAGGTTATTCTGGTTTACTGTGGTTTCAGTGCAGTGTGTCAATAGGTGAGCATGTATGTGGAGCTATAGGCTGGATGCTACATTTCTCTGAACCCAGTTTTACACTTAAATGTACCACCTGTACATTGTACAACAATTTCAACTCGCACCTGACTGTGTGAGTTGAATTTGTTGCGTAAAAGCGGTTGGGTTACCGTGAGTAATTTACTACCTGCCTATAATGGCGTTCTACCATCAAGCTACTGTTGGAGAAACTGGCTAAAGGCTAGGAATGTTGTCAAGTTATATTACGACGGGGCCATGCTCATAATTTTTACTTACTGCTGGGTGTAAGGTGTCTCCATACACACACACATACACACACACACACACACACACACACACACACACAGTGCTAAATCCCAGGCACAGGCCTCAGTGCCATGTATTATTTAGGCTGTCCACCTAGCTGCTGGTTTGGATCAACTACCACAGGGTGGAAGCGAGTGAAGCGAGTGACAGGGACATAAAAGACACTAATTCTAGCAGAAACTACTGAAAAACAGCAGCAGTTTGATTTTTGTTTGTGTAACTGTGACATTACTTTATTATAGTAAAAGTATGAATTTGATAGGAGGAGTATGGGTCTATAGTAGCTCTGCTCTGTGAAGTAGCACTTTGGCACAGCGGTGCTTTGAGCTAAATGTTAACACCAGCATGCCAACATGTTCACAATGTCAGTGCTAAAATGAGGATGTTAACTGGTTTAATGTTTACCATGTTGACCGGCTTAGTCGCGCATGTTAGCATGCTAACCTTTGCTAATTAGCAATAAGCACAAAAGTACAGCTGAGGCTGATGGGAATGCCATTGGGTTAAAATGTTAACCTGTACTTAAACAATATTAATTTATTCACTATTTTCTCTATTTATTTGAATACTGGGTAAAATCATCCTCCATACTTAACAGAGATTCTTAATCTGATAGAAAAAAAACATTCTCCGTCGACATACCATAATTTACTGACACTTTACATGGTGACAGCAGGGTGGAGGGTGGAGTGCTATTGTTATGGTTTGAGGAACAGCACAAACACACAAAGACATTTTTACATACCTGTTTTTTTCCATTTCATTGTGCGTGGACCTGAGGAGATAAAACACATATGAGAAACCACACATAATATCAGAAGCACAGATTAAACAGGTTTCCTCTCTGCGTGCCATCAATGCAGTCCAAAGCCTTACTGCAGGGGAGTGACAGAGAGAGACGCTGTGTGGGAGTTTATGAGCAGTCAGAACGGCAGACAAAATGAGATTCTAGGAAATCAGAAGAGCAGGCTGGGTATTCTGATGCCAGAGGCTTGTTCTACCGACGAAACTTGTGCTTTTTAAGGACCACACTCAAATACGTGATGAGGAGGCCAGGAGTGAACATAGTAACAGTAACTACAAACAGAGGGCAGGAGTAGACGGGACTAAGCACCTACATATTGCCTGATTATCCACTCTGCATGTTGTACTGAGAGAGTCGGAGAAAACACAGTGCTGAAGGCTGGAAGATGGAGGTGTGCTGCAGCATAAAGCAGAACACACACAGACAGACAGACTGCAGAAACGGGGAACAGCGTAGTGTTTGGAAGGATTGTGCTGGCCTGACCTGTGTGAAAAGGGGTGAATGGGTGGTGGCATTCCTGAACTCTAATCTATCTCCCCTGACCTCCTGACCCCCCACCCCACATCCCAAAATAGCCTCTGCACCTTCAGCTGTGCTAGACCCCTACACTGTCATCATAGACTCCCACACACACACACATTCTTGTACTTCTATAGTTGTGAGGACCCTCCTTGACATTATGCGTTTCCTGTACCCTTACCCTAACCTTAACCATCACAACTAAAATGCTGAGCCTCACCCTAACCAAAACCAAATTATACCCTAACCCTTAAAACCAAGTCTTAACCTTCAAACAGTCCTTTGAATTTGGCCAAAATGTCCTCACACTGATGGTTAAAATCTTGTTTTGCTCCTCACTACGTAGGAAGTACATGTACACACACACACACACACACACACACACGTTTGTTCCTCTATCCCTCTGGGGACATTTTATTGACATAATGCGTGACCAAGCCCCTTACCCTAACCTTAACCTAATTCTAACATGAACCCTAAACCCATGTTTTAACCCTCAAACAGCCCTTTAAACATGCATTTTGGTCCCCACAAAGCTGTCGGATCCCATTATAGTGCAATCCCAAATATAGTAAAACACACACACACACACACACACACACACACACACACACGGTCATGTCTAACAACTTACTTTCAAGACTTAGCTTAGAACTACTGTCTTCTACTAGGCTCAGTCACAACCTCTGAACAGCAATGGGTGTCATGCCCGCGTGTGTGTGTGTGTGTGTGTGTGTGTGTGTGTGTGTATGTGTGTGTGTGTGCGTGTGCGTGTCAGCTTTGGGGGCTCTCTATCTCACTTGGCCCCTCCAGTCAGTGTGCATTCCTGTGCACGGCAGACAGCCGCTGGTGACATAACAGCACTGGCAGGGAAATGATCCCTCTGATTCCAGCTAGATTTCAGGCTCAGGGACATCTCCCACTTCCTGCCCGAGTCCCATCACCCTCTGCCCCTCCACAAGTAACACTGAGTAATGAAAATATTGTTTTTTGTGTGAGCCATGTGGAATAACATATGGTTTGCTCTAATTCCATGTCAGCACATGAAACTGGATCCAAATACCACATACACCCTGGGACCACATTGACTACATCGAAACTCAGCTTTAGCCAAACTTTACCTGCCTCAAGCTTTGTTTCAAGATTTCCATTACTATTTGGGATACAGGCAGTATGTTTACAAAAGTCAGTGTGATGTAGTGGGAGAGGGGGAATTAAAAAGGGCGCCCAAGTGGCTCACTGCATATAGTCGTCTGTCTCTCTCCAGCTGGCACTATCGTAGTGAGGCAGAAATTTGGACAAAATTATCTTAAAAAAATCTGTTCAGAATCGCTACTCTTACCTTCTGCGATCCTGAACAGATTCTCAACTTGCAATATTCTTTTTTAAAGAGGTGGTATTTTGCTTTTTGGCTTTTTCCCTCTCCTTTATTGAGTTATATAAAAACCTAATAGGTTTGCAAAGTGAAAAAGCCCAAAAAGAGTTCCCATCTCCCACAGAAAATTCTGCTCTTTCTGGATGAAGAATACTTTTGTTACAGATTAATAACTCTCAACTCTGAAACTCTTGCTCCAGTCTATGTTGCCAAGCTGGTTCAGCAACATGTACAGCTGAAACGAAGCCGTGTTTACTGTCTTCTCATTGGCCCACCCTTCTCTGCTTCTGATTGGCTAGTAGTCCTTAACTAGGAACTGCGCATGTGCAACTCCCAATAAAGATCATCATCACAAGATGTATCACTCCATAGCTAAAACGAAGCCTTCAACACAGGGTGAAAAGAGGAGCTGCAGCAATGTGCAGTATGACAAAAATATGGTGTTTTTAGAAAATTAAACCATGTAAACCTGTTCTGGTACAACCCCTAAATAAGATTATGAACCTGAAAATATGCATAATACCACCTCTTTAAATCTTATTAAATGTTTCATTATTTATGCCACCTTTTTTATTTATTGGAATGAAGAACTGATTTTGAAAAGAAAAAACTACATTTGAAACTCTGTAATGTCGACACTGTTTCTAAATAACCTCAAACCTAGTTTGGCATTTCTATACTTAGGTTTCTTGTTAGTCATCAGTCAACATACACAGATACTGATATACAGTATCTCTGCAATAAGCTTAAATCATCACTTATATCAACCTGGCTGATTTATCAGTATCACTCCAATTGCCACCACTGCTATGCAAATCAGCTACAATCAGGATGTGCAGTGGGGTCTCATTGTGTCTTATATTCATATCAGTTATTGACCAAACTAAGTGTTAATATCTGGGAACATGGCGACAACTCTACAACACAGTCAGATGCAGTCAGATGACCAGACGGGTTGTAAAGAAGCCGACTGCGTAGCTAGAATTACCACTTTGTTTGGAGGTTAAACTGTAAGTAGCACACCTGAAACTTTCCTCTAAATAAGAGAAAAACGTCCGATTGCTTATATTTCTAGCCCTATCCACCTTTTTTAAGCAATTTCCCAGATTTTAGTGATTAACTTGGTGACTACAATTCCACCGACAGGAATGATGCCCATGTTGTATGAAACCTGAATGTGGGTTTGAAGTTAGCCTGCTTCTAGACCTCTAAATCCTTGTAAGTCAACTTCAGAAGTAACAACTCTCAAATTGGTAAATTTTTTTAATTATTGGGGAAAATATAATGTTAACTGCTCAAAGCAGCTACTACCACAGCATCAAATGAAAATGGCAGTGAAGGGATGTAATAAGGGACAGGATAAGTCGCTTGGTACTTACTGGTCAGGGCAATGTCAAGAAAATGAATGACTATTCTAAAAATAAGCTTCAGTCGTATAACTCCACACGCAGTGTAGACCCTCATTTCACACTTCAATCTTCCCATACGGATTCCTGGACAAAGTCTTACTACATGGGATTCATGGGCTATTTTACAGGGGTGCATGACAGAAAGTTTATGAATCAGATAATACTGGATCACTGAACTGTAGAAAAATGATTCACCAGTGTAGCTTTCCTTCGGCTCGGTCGACAACAAGATTCTTCTACATTAATCTACCATCAAGTGGAATTTTCACTTGTGAAGCCTTGCTGTAGCCTCACACAACAACAACACCAGCACAGGGTGGTTAGCATGGAAAGACTACAATTGCCTGCTCAACAAGGATGGCAAGATCACTGTATGTTTTCCATAGTGCACTGAAGTTGCGTGTGTGTGTGTGTGTGTGTGTGTGTGTGTAGGGTGTGTAATGGAGGAGCTGGTGCTCTCCACAGCCTGCCAAGAGTTAGAAGAGAGCAGGAAAGACACAGAGGGGCGGAGGAGGTGAGGAGAGAGCGAAAAAGCAAGAGGGAGCGAGAGATGGGGGGGGGAGTCACCACTACTGGCACACATGCACACATACATGCCAGAAACACAGTGACTCCCCTCCCCCACCGCACGCACATCCATGCCTCGGAGAAACGACGACTTTAAATACATCCATTCCACGTCTGCCTGCCTTACATTTCAAGTCTCAACAGCAACAAAAAAACCAAACAAACATCATGCCTGATCAATTAATGATCCGCTCTTCTCTGGCAGAAATCAAACCCCCCTTCCCCCCCAAGAGGCAAATTAATTGATAGCAATAGTGCTGGTCTGTCTATTAAAGAACAAGAGCCAACATCATACCAGACCATATCAAATCATCTACGCTGAGCAGAAACCTGTCTTAAGAACAAGCTGCCCTTAAATAGTAATGGCTGATAAAATGCTCATAGCTGGTGGGTGAGTTGCTGCAGATTAACACAACCCTGTGCTCAAACAACAATAAATGGTCAAAGTGAATGCTGGTGAGCTAAAGCATGACTGGAAATATGGACAAACCTGCATCAGCTGTTCAGCTTAGTCGATTGGCATGAAATTAATTGGCAGCAATTGTGATTATCCAATTGCCAAACATGCTCTAGTTGCAGCTTCTCCAATGCGAGGATTTGCTGCTTTTTTATATCGTTGTTTATATCACTGGGTTTTGGATTGTTAGTCGGTGGTCAGATAAAACAAGACATTTGATGATGTCACCTTGGACTCTGGGAACATGTGAAGGACGCTATTCAATAAACAACTACTACTACTAATAATAATCAACTGATTAACCGATAATGAAAATAAATTAATCGTTGCAGTCGACACACTGAGATGGTGCAAAAATAAGTCTGATTGCATTGCAGTCAATGACAAAATGACTCTACTTCTCACTTTATTTATTACCTCAGTAAACACTTTCCTAATGAGTTTATGGTCTCATTTGCTAGTTTCAAGTCTTCTTCAACACAGCATGATGTTTATTTTGTAAATTATGGTCCTATTACTATTGAGTAGCTGCCACAGCAATCTGTCAATCAGGACAGAGGTGAATGGTATCTACTGCAGTGTATACATTAAAGAGTCGTGAACTTGTTTTTGACTGTTTTTTCGGTGTTTTAGTCTAAAAACTTCAGTTCATGAAAAGGAAGTGTAACATTTTGGTCACCTAAAAATGTCTACTAAAACACACTGTAAAGTGCGATTTATACTTCTGCGTCGAATAGATGGCGTAGCCCAGGGGTCAGCAACCTATGGCGCGCAAGACAGCGTGGGCACGCAGAGACATTTTAAGTGGCATGTGAGAAAGCTACATCCTACAATACTGACATATGTCGCTAAATATTACATTAGGTTAGTGAAAAAACAGATGATCAACAACCATGATGAATTAATTTTGACATTATTATTAGGGTTGTCAAAATGATAGAAATATAGAAAAAATAACGCCTTGTATTTTAACACAGGATTAATTGTAGTATGATCCGCGACCGGGCTGGTCGACCGGCTGGTCAGCTGCAGCGGAACGCTCTATGTGTCTGTGAAACTGGGCCAAACTAAAACATTCAATTTTGAGGGGGAATACTAGCGGCCCCTCCCAACTTGGACTGATCCTTGTTTTTGGCCAAACGGCGTCAATCAACAGAATTTGCTTTCGATCCGGTTTGTGTGACAAGTGCAGCAGAGATGGGAAATATGGCGAAAAAATTCGAATTAAAAAAAAAATGTTGGCACAAGGGGCATTTGTTACTATTTTAGCCTTCTGACTGACTGTTCACATGACATGTTGGTAGTTAACAGTATACTGTGACTTAAGTGTTCCAGCTCAGGCTTGACCTGGTCTTGTTCAGTACAGTGGTGACTTCCTTATTCAAACTTGCTTATTCGAACCTGGGAGGCAGGTGTCAATTTTACTAGTGGCCAAACCAGCGGCTGTAACACGGTGGATCAATATATTTGACCGTCACAACCCGAGCAAAATGACTCATTTCACTATCAAAATGTGATCTATTCGGTTGATAACATTTGAAAAGTCTATAACAGCCGCACATATACAATTTTACCCCCATTCACGTTAGCGGAGGGCTAAACCGTGACTTAGCCTGCTCGGCCGGCAAAAGTCAACACAGTGGACGCTGTAGCGTGTAATTGCAGAACGACTGAGACACAACACACAACTATAAATGCATGGCCTATAGTGAGAGTATAAATCAAGCTTAAGGAGTCAGCTGTTTTTCCAGTGAGTACATTTTGTTTTAAACCTGTTTCGCTCTAGCCAAACTTAGCATACAAATTAATATCACAGTTAACGTGAATTACAGGTGCATCTTACTAACCAAGCTAGCTTTAGATCGACCCTCTCATCCGAATATGGTCACTTCTGGTTCCAAAAAAACAAGATGGCGATGACAAAAATATACAAACTCGAGGTTTCAAAATCGTAGTCGACAAAACAATGGGGAACATCACGGTGGCTACATCCGTCATATACGTCTTTTAAATAGTATATTGGACGCTTAAGGTCAGGTTATTCTACAAACCAGTCTGTAGTGGTTTAAATGGGATTAATGCACACACAGTCTCTGAGACTAAATTTCAGCCAAAATCTTAGCCAAACCAAATTTTCGCAACATCAAGTTCCTTTAACTGAGCATGTCTTTCTGGTCTGATTGATGAGGTGAAGATAGGAGGTTCTGCTTTTGCTTATCAAATCTACACAAAGACATGCAGACAAGTTCAAGGATGTTCATGGTTTGAGACACTGAGCTATTATTGATTATCAGAATGGTGCATATACAAAGTATAGCATGCCAATATGTCAGTGTAGGTAAGAGGTTTTATACATCCAAAGAACTTGTATAACAAACAGACCAGGAGCCATATTGCAGAAAGTGCCTATCTTAAGTCTTGATAAGATAGGAAGAGTCTAAGATAGGATTTTTTCTAATTTGGTATTACAGAAGCAAATCCTAACTAACTTTAGGAATCCAATCTTATCTTACGTCATTCTATCTTATCTCAGGTTAGGGAATCGGTTATCAGCTTTTATGCTAGGTATGTTACCTAGCAAACAATGCCACTTTTCTTATCTCGTGAGCTAAACGGCTTTTAATTGCCGTTTTCTGGTTGTTTTTTAAATGAAACATACACTGAAAAATGGAGCAGAAACAACAACTATCATTGGACTTCAAGTGTTGGTAACCTCCGTCGAGAAATCCAAATTCCCATAACGCTTAACTTAATTTTGTTAATTTTGTAAAGGCAATAAAAGATCGGCAGGTTAGGAAGTTTCTGTAATACGGCCCCAGGTGACTAATTGAGACCAGTGTTTATTTGTCAAAAGGTATAGCCACACTAGGCCAGTTAAAGGGACAGGCGTGTAATTGGAACTTTGATTGAAGTTTTAAGGCATTGTATGTTCTAATCCATTGCCTATCTCTACACACTTGGCAGTGTATTCGCCTTTTTCATTTTTATAACTTTCTGATTAAAAAGAGGCATGCAACAGTGGGTGGCAGCAATATGCCAGTGCTGTGTCTACTGAAAAAGTAAGTCCCCCAATGTCACTGTTTATCTGAAAAATCTAATTTCATCACATCTTTCTTTCATTACATACTTTTTTTGCGCTAATTAGGTGGGTTTTCTGGTGTTTCCCTTTAGGGCTGTTCATGTGCATGTGTGCATAAATATAGGTGGACATAAACATACTCCATTAAATCTTTTAAATCATCCAGAAGGGTTCCATCAGTGCTGACTTTGATTGTGGTGCTATTTCATCATCTCCACTGGAACAATCAACACAAAAAAGCAAATTTTTATATTTGCCTTATCAGTGTACATCCTGTACAGGCCTTAACTCACTACACAGATACAGCATGGACATACTGTATGTCCTCCGGCATCTAATCCCGGAGCACACATTGATCTGTGGGGAGTGGATGCAACACAAATCTGTCCCGATATGATTGATTTATGGAATTCCAGTTACAGACTCTGAATGTACACTATGCGTCTACAGTAAGTTTCCATTGAGGTGACTAGAGCTGTCAAGACATGGGCCCCTCGCTGAAATGTCTTCTGCAGTCACCTTGACTGACCCAGTTTGCCTTACCGAGTGGCCATTCACTTTAAGCCGGACTGATGTTTGCTGCTGTCAGTCACACGCTTTGTGGGAGGAGTCAAAACATGGCCTCAACGCCAACAGACTCACACATGCAGCCACAGCTTGTAATATCAGAGGACCTTTTCTGTAGTGTCAGGTACAAATGAGCCATTAGGGCACAGAGAGAATTAGGGCTGAGAGGTGTCAACATTTTCGCCTTGTGATTTTGACTTTGCAAAGAAATAGCAATGGGGGAAAAAAGTAAAACATCCACACAACAATGGTGTGCATGTCAGCACTTATCTGCCACACATAACTGATCAATCTTTGCAAAATGAATCTAAAAAAAACAAACTGTTACCTGTGCCCACCAAACAAATGAGCTAAAAGTATCTACAGCATGTGTTGACGACATATTAACCTCTATGCTTCTGATGCTACACCACACCACTTTGAGTGGAGAACAGCCAAAAGCACATTCTTTTGGTCACTAACTATATTTTCTCAAAAACAATGGTTAAGGTCGTATCAGGCAAACAAGTCACAGTATTTTTAAGCATCATAATTATATACTGTACAATATATATCTCACTAATGATTAGGCTGCCCTCTTCAAGATGGTGGTGAGTTAAATTTCATATCACTCTGGTTTGAAATATGTAATTTTAAGTGCTGCATCAAAGAAATGCTGACTCAACACAACATGCGATTTGTTTTTTAAAAAAAACCCAGGAAACACTTGATTAATCCTGCTGCACTCACTGGAGGAGGGGATATTATGAGACTTGTTGCAGAGTTGAAAAATTAAACAGTATGCATTTTATGGCCACAAGGAGTCAAATGGCCTTTACCTGCTACTTGTGTTCTTCTTGCTTTTGCTTTTCCTTTTCAAGCTTTCCCTCTCTCTGCTGCTGATGAAGGGCGGCATGGAGGCATAGCCATGTTCCGCTTCTGCAAGCAAATAAACACCATAGTGGTCACATGTCCAGATTTCTGGCAATGCAAAACACAGCCACAGTGAAAAGAAGCCGACCAATAGGAGGACTGCAAAATGTGCCACATTTGATCATGAGCATTTTGGAATTCAGTAGCAATGTCTTATGGTGAAGCGCAGGCATGCAGTGAGTGGATTTCATGCGGTATCTTTATACAGTATTTTCTCCCCTCTGCCTGGACAATGATGTCATCTTGAACTAGAATAAACCCCACTAGCAAACCACAACAGAGGGAAAGGAGGGGCCTCCATGAAAACAATGTCTCCCTGCACATCTCACTGCATCTGCCACATATGCATTCTTTCTCTCGTGATCAGAAAGGCAAATGCACGTGTGTTTTTGCACATTTGCAGTTTATCCCAAAAAATAGTGATTAGCACCTATTTTTGGTGTAGGCGATGCTTTACTGTGCAAAATCAGATACTGTTTCTGTTTTTAATGCATGGCCCGATTACTTCATGTAAATACCTGAAGGACATCAACAGGATTTAAGACAAGTTTTAAAATGACAAGTGCATAAATCATCGTGAGTTGGAGAGGGGGTTGCCATAGTAATTTTTCAGAAATATAACAGACCGTAGAAAACAATACAATTACACTTTACCTCTTTCCCTGCGTTCAAGGTACTCGGCCGCTTCGATCAACATCTGCACCAGTCCGATCGCCGCCATTTTCAACAATAACACTGATAATATAACAATCCGATGAGGGATTCCGTGGCTGTAACACAACCTGCTTCAGGTCCTAACACTGGCTCTCCTTCTAACACTCAGGTGGCTTGCTGATCTGTCAATTATTATTATTTTAAAAGGCGAGAGGTGACGGTAAAGAGTTCCTCCTGCAGTGTAAGTTCTCAAACGGGCTATTTAAAAGTTAAAGGTCTGGAAGACAGCACCAGTCAGTTTTTGAAGCTGAAATAGTCTCCTCTTTAATGATAAAAATGTTCAGGTAACGTTAATGTTAGCTGGCTAGTCAAGGCTGACGCTAACACCTCTTCAATAGCTAACGTTAACGTTTCTGTGTCCTCGTTATTATTACCTATTTATTAAGCACACTGTTTGCTGAATAGTGTTGGTTTTCTATGTACTTCTTCGAGAAAAGGCGGCTTGTTGACAAAAACAAAACAAAGGGCTGCTTGACATATAAAAATAAGCTGAATGGTTGGCAAAAATAAGTCGGTCGACGTGACAAGTCGTCAAATTAACGACAAAAAAGTTCTTGCTAGCTTGGCTGTAACGTTATATTGTAAAGACTCAGCCAATCAAAAAAACAACAACGTTGGCTTGTTCCGCTGTCACAGACTTGCCTGAATGAAATGATAGAAAAACGAGCTAGCTGTCTTAAAGTTCAACCGCCGATGTCATCCAACCTTATCGGTTCGGGGCTTTGTGGCTGGCTAGTTTTGTGCTGGTTTATCGCAGATCACGCGTGATACGTCTCGCTGGAAACGCAGATAGCGACTGACATCAACAGAGGAACAGTAAGTGTTTATCAAACTGCTTCCAAAATAGAGGCTTGTTGATCTGGACGACAGCTAACTACTGTACTTCACCACAAAGCTTCTGTGTGCGGCGATTATGATTGGGTACTGGACATCACAACCCGAGCTCCTATTGGGCGTTTAAGCCGTCAATCTTCGGGAGGATGGGCACCAACTGCCACCGAGGGCTTGGTTCAGCCATTTTGGTTCTAATTCACATTGGCTGTTTCTGCACTGCACACGCTCGTGCACCGTGATTGGTTGCTTTCTGATAAACTTGTTAGCTATTGGCCGCAGTGCCCACGAGCTAAAGAGACAACGCCCGCTTCTGACAGAGGACACGCCTCTCTGCCATGCTGTTTCGCGGTGTATGGCGATGATTGGCTGCCACGATGTTGTCTTATTTCGCGTTCAGGGATTGGCCAGATTCACATGCTCTCTTTTTATTGGTTTCTCGCTTATCCTATCGCTAAACATATAACCGCGCAGGCGCCGGCCCACGGCTTTCTGAAACATGATAGCTGTAAAATCCTGCTTCAGATTGGGACGGATGCCCATTTTAAAGCCAGAGCACAAACCCTGGACCTACACTGCGACAACACAGAATTGGTTTGTCTGCTGAAACACGTCCTTCGTCTAGGACTAAATATAATCCTTGACTGATAAACCCTTTAAACACTTTAGTGTCACTATAAATTGACAATTATACATCAGAAAATGTTCCTGCATATCATGGCTCTATTGTTTTTGTCATAGTCAGTAATGCAACCATACATTTTTAAATGCTTTTATTTAAAATAAAAAAAATTACACACGCCTCAACAACACAAAGCTCCATGCATTGTGTCCTTATCAATACTGAGCCCGGCTCACTTCAAGCACTTCTATTTACATTTATGTGTTTACTCATGAAAAAAAAAAAAAGGAAGCAAACAAAACAGGAAATTGCTCAATATCATCCACTATTGTGAGGAGGACAATGGAGGGAAGTTTCTCAGGTACTTTCAAGCGATGAAGTCCAGTGGTCTGTTGAATCCACCCTTTCTGTTCATGTACTGCCTAAAAAAATAAATATATGAGAAAACATTACATCACTGTTACCCTCGCAACACTTGCAGATTACATCATCGAGCACCAATGGGAGAGCCTGAATGTCTGCATAGAAACACCTGCGGAGGTGATTGGCTACAATAACTGTGGTTGATGCTCAGAGGGCTCACAGTGAGGGGACTGAGGAGTTGACGTTTTAACTCAGCAACCTGACCAACAGCTGGGGTTCAAATAAGAAAACATCACTATATAAGAAAACAAGGGCTAATGAAAGATTTTCAAAAGTTGTCTGTGGCTATGGGCAGCACTGCTTTGATGCTGCGCAATCAATAAACCACACAAGTGGAAACATTGTTTTGTTTTTGTTGACGTACCTGTATTTTCTCTTCATGGACACGTTGATAGCATGTGCATTAGCTGATGCCTCACTTTTCTTCCCCTGTTTGAAAACAACGTTACTGCCTCTCACATTCAAAACATCACATATTACAGTTCAAGCTCAATGGTGACATGTTACTAATCAATGAAATGTAGAAGTCTCGGCTTGACTTCCATCGCTCCTTTTATTCACAAAAGTAGTTTGTGAGGATCATTTGGAAGATACGCCTTTGCAAAACTTTAATAAATTCTAAACTACAGTAAATGTCCAACTGTTGATCCACTGAAGAGTACCAAGAGATTTAGTCCAACATTTGTACCAAAAAAGGGGTTACATCTCAGTGGCTAACTGAACATTTCCTTCAACATCACATGCCTGTAGCTGCTTCCAAGTGAAACACTTTCAGCTGCTGTGAAGAATATGATGTAAATTTAGTTTGAAGTTGGCGGTCTAGCTTTTTGTCCAGTACAAAAAGTTATGATTTGTATAATTTTTAGCACCCCCCCCCCAAATACATAATTAATATAGTAATAGAGACGTGACCTTCATCATACCTTCAAAAAAGCATGGCAAAGGGTCAAACACATGAATAGTGACCGCATATAATGAGGAGCTACCAACTCTGTGACTCCAGCTGCACTGATGAGTTTGTGGAAATTCAGAGCACAATGCCAAAAAGTGGGCAGCTGACTGAAATTAATGCAATATGCAACAGTCGGCCTGTCTTCAGTTCAGCTGTAGAGTGCAATGAACTTTATTTGAAATAAACTGCGCCACCTTGTGGTAACAAAGGACACCCTACTGCTCTCACCTTGGTGCTGTCAAAGGAAGCAAAACCCATCAGTTTCATCATCTCAATCTCCTCTTCTGTCTTGCCCTGCATGTCTTCCTCTGTCAAAAAAAAAAAATGATGGTATTGAAATCTGGTAGAAACATCAATGCTGCACTTGTCATGTCACATCAAAAAAGCTGAATATTAGGGATGCACCGAAATTAATCGGCCAAAAATAGCAAAAAAAGAGCTCTTTTGGTGTTCGGCCTAATAAGTCAAAAGGCCGAATAAATTTTGACCAACAATTACGTTGACATGTCGGCAGTGTGCAAGCATTTTAAAGAGTCTGAGAAAGACGCAAAAATTGTCGTTTGCAGACACTGTTCTGCTGAATTGTCTCCCAGCACATCCACACCATCTGTGGCTGACTTCTTAGAAAAGGCAGAAAAACGGTCTTACCCACTTTGAGTATTTCCGTCACTCGTTTGTGACAAGGCGATTAAGCTAGCCGCACCTATACTTGGAGTGCACATGTATTCAAGCCTTTGTGGTAAATCCACTGAAACGGCCCAGTGCCAGCTGACAGGCAGGTTAGCGACTTTATCCTGTCAGTTTCTCTCTTTACAAAGACAAGTGTTGCAGTATGAGAGTCCTACCTGAAGAGAGGCCGTGAAGTCTTCAAGTTACGTGATACGAGAACCACATACAACATTATTTATCAAACTGGGTCGGACTTGATGAATTTTGCGCGATGATACACATGTGACAATGTCTGGTTTTAAAAATAAGGTGTCTATACAGTATCGAAATAAGATTTGATTATATTTAGTGAAAGTATAAAACATGTTACATGTGTCCATTAAAAGTAAATTGACACACATGTATTTTACTTTACCGGACCCTATCAGGCTTCAGACCCACCCACCATAGTCTCTCCAAATCCTGTGGGAAATGCTGAGTAAAAAGCTCATTTTGACTATTTAATTAATGCAATGCAAATAAATGGAAAAAAGTGAGAAAAACTTTGTTCAGTATTCTGGAAAGTTTTTCTTTATATTCAGTTTTGGCTTCGGCCAAGAATTTTCATTTCGGTGCTCATTTCATTTCCCTCCTGAATATCCTCCTCAATTTATATGAATATAGCAAGAACAGAAGCATATCATTCATCTAATACCTGAGATCTGAATGGGCTTCGCTGGCTTGTCCTTAACATCTTTGCGGTCATCTTTCTGCCTTGTAGGAGAGAGGGAGGAGGAGCGATGACGTCGAGGAGGCGACCTGCTGAGGGAAAATAAATATGGCTGCAGGAGGGTTACCTCGACTACTGAATATTGTTCATGGTTTGTTAAAGTCTGTTTAGGATGCAGATACGTGTGCTTGTTCTCAAGGGCAAAGACCACCATTAATGCACTGCAAACTATCTGAAAAGACAATGCTTTTCTATCACAAATCACTAAGCCCTATCTGATTTGGGGATCAGATGATTTTGGTAATAGGTAGTAGCTGAAGTAGGTTAGCACTAATATTTGGTGACAATATACCCAACCCTTTCTCCTACATGTTTAAAGAGGCCATAAACTAAATGGCACACCAGAAGCAAGAAAAAAAATTAATGGACTGGTCACAAAAAACAGAAACGGTGGCAAAGAGAAAACTATCGGTGTTCCAAAAACTGCAAAAGGCGTTTCCTCACCTCGAGCGCCTCCTGTGAGGAGATCGTGAGCGACTTCTGCGCCGGTCTCGGTCCCGATCTCGAGAGCGAGAGCGATCTCTCTCCCTTCGCCTTCGCTCACGCTCCCGCGAAGTTGAGTGGGAACGCCTTCTCTCTACAGGAAAGGAGGAAACAAGATCATGACATTAGTAGCAAACTGGAATCTGGGAATTTAAAACCTAAAGGAATATTGCCATCCACACACTGCATTTTCTCCTTCACATTGTTGGACTTTTCTGCAACATGTTTTAACATTCTAATCCTAATAGTCATCCAACTTGTAAAAATGTTACTGGCACCAAGTGAGTCCTATTTTAGTGTTGCACCTACAGTTTTCTTTTACAAATGTGCACAAGCAAAAGGTATTGGTAGGTGGCTGGCGTCAGATTTTGACAGAGAGGTAATATGCTCCGAAAATGCCAATACTTTGTTCACTTATGCATTTATTATTATATATATATATAATAACATTTCTTTTACTCTCCATCCCTTGATCACTCTACTGAGTATGCAAGAACACAACAGCATAACGTTACAGTTGTTGTTGTGCATGAAAGATATGGCTCTGACCAAACACTCTTTATAGGAAAACTATCACTGCTCCATCATGAGGTCCAGGTCAACCAGAATACAACACAGAACACAGTGGCATAACGTTACTCAAAAAGACATCCAGCCAAATATCATCGATCGCTTCGGAAAAGCATCGAGCCCACATCTAGAGTAATTTAGAGTTCTCCTGTTAGCTTCCTTTGAATAACTAAGCTAACGTTACGTGAATATCTAACTTTACGTTAGAGCGTTAGAAAAAGGTGGCATTCAAGTTATACGCAGTGAGTCACGTGTTAAGGTGTAAAGTCAGCGTTAAGGAAAGAAAATAAGTTAATTAACATTTGTTCTCATTTCTTTCTCCCGGTGTAGAGAAAACAGCGTTGTGGCAGCTAACGGCCACATAGCCATAGCTGCGTAGTGTAAACGTTAACGATACCTGACTCAAGTTTCTTACCTCGTCTCGGTGGAGGAGTTCGGCTCTTGCTCCGGCCCATGTCCCTTATAGATCAAATCTTACCCTCGTAGACCAATGACACGAAATAGAAAGTAATTCCTGGTGAGAACTATGAACAAACCGCGGGTTGTTTGCAGCCTATACTCTAAACGTTGATTGCTGTTACTTTAACAAAGGCTCTCTATCATAGACTGTACGGGGCTTCCGCTGACCTTTCTGCAGAAGAGCGCCCTCTGCCGGTTCGGGGGACAGTTCATAACATCACATTATGGGCTGTGGTGTAGGATATGGCAGGGCCGGGTGCAGCCGGCTGCATTGGCAAAGAGTATCGAATCAGTGTAACGAGAGTCAGTGTAAGTTGTTTGATATAAGGTTCTGAAGTTCTATATAATATTAGGGTGGGCTGGTAGAAACAGAGGTTAAACAGAGGCCCAGAGGTAAGAGAAGCAAACTAGTAGTCCGAAGGTTGTGGTTGACATTGTGCCCTCAGGCTCCTCCAGCATGGCTGTGTGTTTGTATATGGGGTGTTTGAATGGGTTAAATGCAGAAGATTAATTTCCCCATGTGGATTAATAAAGTAGTATTTTTTTTGTTTTGTTTTGTTTATTCTACTCTAATTTATAAAGAATAGAAGGTCTGTATGGAGGAGTGGGCCAAAATCCCTGCTACAGTGTGTGCAAACCTGGTCAAGAACTACAGGAAACGTATGATCTCTGTAATTGCAAACAAAGGTTTCTGTACCAAATATTAAGTTCTGCTTTTCTGATGTATCAAATACTTATGTCATGCAATAAAATGCAAATTAATTATTTAAAAATCATACAATGTGATTTTCTGCATTTTTAGATTCCGTCTTTCACAGTTGAAATGTACCTATGATAAAACCTCTACATGCTTTGTAAGTAGGAAAACCTGCAAAATCAGCAGCGTATCAAATACTTGTTCTCCCCACTGTGTATATGTGTGTGTGTGTGTGTGTGTGTGTGTGTGTGTGTGTGGATAAAGTTTCACTTTTCTCAACATATTATTTATATTTAGCCTACAGTATATATTATTTCTTTATTTCATTATCACTTTTATTCTATTAGCGAATATTGTTGTTCACATTCATGGCGGGCAGCTTTGTCAGCTGCCAACCCAATCAGAAGTTTGAAATGGTACTGTTATTTTCTGTGTAATATTTCCTGAACAGAAAAGAACTGATTTGGGCCCCCAGCCTCATATGGCACACAGAGTTGACAGATAAAACTCAGGGAGAAGAAAAAGAAAGCCCCTGTTGGGTCCAAACTCCAGCATCAGCTAATAATGGATAGTACTCAAACTATTGATAGAAATAAAATATAAAAACAACTATTTGTAAATACAGAAACTAATATTACATAATACTATGTATTAGTTGATAATTGCAATAATAATGTCTGTGGATAGGAGATTAAAGCGTATGTATGTGTAAGCAACCGTATGCTACCTGGTCAGCGAAAACAAAATTGATTATACTGTCCATCTTCCAGAGTATAAATTTGCCTTTTGCAATTTTGTGGCAAGTCTTTTCACTCAGCAAGGCTACTTTTACATTTGTAGCAGCAAAAGCAAAAGAAGTGCAAGCTAATCAATCAGAGAAAGACAGACAAACTAGACGTCCAGTTGGTTTAAATCAAACTTGATCTTTAATGACGGATACATGGGAACCTTGCAACACTCACTTACACATTCTAATATAAAATAAATTATAACAATGAGCAAACATCACACGTCAGCATTTTGATAACAGCTACTGGTTAAAACGGAAAACAATCACAACTGTTTAGAGGCATTTTGCACACATACATTTGAAAGAAAATGAGAAAAGTGGAATGTTTAGTACCTTCAGTATCTGCTATTACTGGGTTTCAAACTGCACTGGCAAGCAACAAATACTTTGCTTCTTTCTTTTCCTTTTTTGGGGTTATAGTGGCATTTATAGCGGCTTGTGTTTTGTTGCGAGCCGGTATATTTTCCCCGCTTTCTTTTCCCTTTCTCGTCCCTGCTGTATTTATGTCGTTAGGCTGATAGTTTTACACAAACACCAGCGATCAGAAGAGCACAATCAGTAGCTATCAGTATATTTCTACATGTACTGCACACCTGTGCTCACATAGTTTACCTGCAACATCTATCTTGATATAATTAGAACCAAATCATGATGAGAAGATGCCTATGATGATGAACAAATACTAGAATGCCAATATACATATGTCAAGTGCCTATACATGTATAAGGGGTGCATAATTTAAGGAAACTTAAATTTCCAACGCGTCTGGCAAATAGTGGATTTTTTAAAAAATGGTATGAAACAAATTCTGAGTGGCAAGTGGGCAGGACCACGCTAGTAATCCCAGGTTTGTAAAGGAACATGTTTGACTGCCTATACAGTAAAGTTAAGTAATGGTTTGATAGCACAGCAGGTGAAAATAAGACACAAGTAATACAGGGACTGTGTGTGTGCGTGCGTGTGTGTGTGTGTGTGTGTGTGCGTGTGGGAGACATAAAGTAGTGCGTCAAAATGTTGTGTCCGACCAGGGTCAAATAGTATGTGAAAATAATTATCAGTGTGTTTTAACCTGCTTAAGATGAATCACCACATAGATCAAATCAGTGAGTACCGGCGTTAGTGAGTAAAGTATTTGAGAGGCAATTTAGTACACCATGTCTGTGACTGACATCTTAACAGACTGCGTTTCAATACATCTGATGTGGTGAACTCATCTGCTACTCCGTCATACACTAAGAAATGTTTCACAGTAGTATTTCACCGAGGTCTGGTGTGTCTGAGCGCCTCAGGTTTCTGCTTTCTCCTTCTGCTTCTTGCTCTTTTTCAGGAACGACGGCGGTTTGAACTTCTTCTTCTTCTTGGATGGGGACTTGGAGGGCGAGCCCTCTGGGGTGCCACCTTGTGGTTTGGCGGGCGGAGCAGCAGGTGTGGAGGAGGTGTCGTTGGTTGTGAGAGCCTTCATCCCCTTCTCCAGTTCCTCCGTCGTCTGCTTCTCCTCCTCACCTCCGTTCTGTATGGCTGGAGACTCGGTCTTTGCCTCTTCTGCTCCATGATTTAAAAAAAGAAAAGAAAAGGTACAAAGAAAGTTCAGCAACAAGACAGAGAATCTTGTGTGGGGTGGAGCCGCAAAGCCACATGCTAGGCGTGTCACTGCAGATGGACATGCTTGCTTAGTGTGAAATGGGAAATGGACTGTCATACTGTTTCTCTGTACTTACTAGTGAGTCAAGACCAAAGCACCAGAAGTGTGCCCTATGAATCAGTGAGAAGTAACACAGAAAAGGACAGACAGATACAGAGGGAGAGAGTACAACAGATACAGTAGGTACAGAGACAAATTGATTTCCCTACAATGAGCTGAAATTTGGCAACAGACGTGTACCAGACATTTTGACTTACACAAGTATAACCAATAATATAATGTCTGCATTACATTTAGCCACTTCCAGAGCTGGCTGGCAGAGCTGTACCAGAGCCATTATTTATGCTATGAGTTGAACCTGTATTTCCTGCTACGTGAAGTCAAAATGTCCTTCATGAGAAAGATCAATTACATTTGCCTAAAAAACCTGACACCCCATGTTGCGCCTTTATAGCCTGGCATCGCCAGACTAAGGCCCCATCCACACTACTACCTTTTTGTTTTAAAACTGAGACCTTTTGCTACGTTTGCACCTTTTGTCCAGACTAAACAGTGAAAATGAAGACCTAAAACAGAGAAGTTTGAAAACGCTGTGACCCCATTTCCCGTTTTAAAACTCCGAAGAGTGTTTTAGTGCAGACGGGCAAAAAAGGAGGACTTTAGAAACGATTACGCAGACACTCACGTTTGGTGCTCTGATTGAGTTTTATAAGTTATGCAAAGCAGAAACACAATGCTACTGACAGAGTTTTTGATTTAGTATTTTTATTAAAATATTTGTACCTGCAAATAACACTTAAGCTACGCTTGTACTGTGCATGTCACCATTTACTTTGCGACAACTCCCAGTCTGTTTCCCACCCCCACAGTCGCTTTTAACTCCCGCGTTACAGACAGTAACAGTCCCAGCTCGTTATCAGTCCATGCAAAAAAAATCTTGTCGGATTCTTTGTCTGTAGTTACTCTGATACGCAGCTAAAACGCTGGTGTGGACGGGGATCATATTTGTTTTGAATCTCCGTTTTTAAACGTAGTGTGGATGGGGCCTAAATTCCCAAAAGTGTGGAAACTCCGTTCATTTTCCTTTTTCCATGGGGCTTTATCAACAGGAGAAGACCAAAACAGACACAACTGGAAGACCTACAACCAATCAGAGCAATGAAACGTGTGACGTAGCAAACGCAAGCTGGCAAGTTGGGGTGGTGCTGGGTTGTTTTCAAGCAAGAAAAAAAAACAAAACAGGTGGAGATCTGTCTGAATGGGAAGGGGGACCAGACGTATCTGCCAGAGCAAATGAAACATGAGCTCGGCAGATACGTCTGCTTCCCAGGCTACCACCTTTAGGTATCTAACATGTAAAGATCACTGGTACTACCAGAGGTGAATGAGTTAACTTTCTAGTCCACAGAACATGCTGTCAATGGTTTTCATAAGGACTATTTCTTCTGTAGAAAATGGTTCAAATTAAAACTCTCTGCAGTGAGGTCTGTGGATTACCCAGAGGTCCTCTTTATCCGCAGCCCGCTTCAATGTACTACCTACTGTATAATCATCTCAATAATTGCTCCCCCTAATGTCTATATTTCTGTACTGCGAATGCTTTGGTTAGTACTTGCAAAAACATATATTTCTGTATTGTGACTATTATATTTAAACAGAATGAAAGAAATAATAACGAAGCATACTTCTAAACTACAAGGCCTTCTGTGTTTTAACTAAACAGAGACCAGAGATCAGCTGCACATGTGGAGGTGTAACACGGTTGCCAGTGAGCATTTGAAGCAGGAGAGGGCAGAAGCACATGAGTCCATGAGGCTGCGGAGCAGATAGGCAGCGGGCAAGGCAAGCAGGGCAAACAGTCAGCACTCTGCCAAGCCTCACCTGAGAGGGGAGGGTGGCTTGGTGGAGGGCCCTTTGTTGGAGAGGTAGCTGGGGGAGACTCCTTGTCATTTGCCACCTCCTCCTCTATTTACACAAACACACACACACACACACACACACAGTGAAGGACAGTGAGGGTTCAATTGTGCAGGAAGTTAGATTTGTGAGGCAAAGCGAACACAGTTTACATGAGCATCAGAAGTGAAATCAAGTTTTCTTAATGGTGCTGTGAAAGTACTTTAACTTATAATATATATACATTTTAGTGAAAGACTAAAATGTATATATATTATAAGTCTATCAGCAGCTGTACGCATTTTACATTTTACAACATGCAACACGACTTATGCAGGAAATCTGCTGCATGATTTACACACAATGGAGAAGACAGCACAAACAGAGCAACATTTCTTACAATGATGGATGGTGGAGTACGTGAAAACTGGTAGAACTTTTAATTTGAAATTCACAGTCTATATTAGTATTTAAACACAGCACCTTTAAGTTAGAAAGAAGTGTGCAATGCATTTATTGTGAAAGTGAGGGGTAAGCTGCCTTTATAGAGCCACCAAAAGTATGCAGACACAGTAAAAGACAGTAAAAGGTTAGTAGATGAAGCAAACATACATCAATATAATGCAGTTGGTTAGATAATTAAAAAGGAGGGTAAATAGATATATTAAGCTTCTTTTATCTCCAATCACTTGATAAAATAAATGACAACTTAATGGTGGTGGTCTAAATAGCTAGCTTAGTTCAAAACAGTCATTGATAACCAGCTAGCTAACACGCTATATTGAACACATTGAGCACCAGCCTTTCCAGTTGGCTACCCAGCCAAAGCCAACTTTCCTCATGAAACTACGCCGAGAATTCATTGAGACAGGTCTCATCACCCGTCACTAAGCTCTTGTGGCTGAATGGGAGCAGATCCCTGACACAAGGCTCTAAACATCTGAGACCAGAAGAGTGGAGGCTATTGCATCTGATTATTACATTTGGTTTTTGGACTGTCATGTTCAACTATCACGTATGGGTGTAATGTTGTCCCCCACATACTTATTTATATAAAGCATGGAAATAACTGGTAATCTATTTTCTAAAACTGCTTTAAGGACTAAATGTAGTTGTAAATTTAGGAATAAACGTCTACTTTTACTATAATAGTACTGCAGTTGTATGGTTAAGAATGACACAGACGAGTTGAGTTGAATTAATCTTACCATCGGTCCCTCCATCCTGTTTCCTCTGCACCTCCTTGCGGTACTCCTCCAGCTCCTGGTCTGTCAGCTGGTTGAAGGGATTGGGAGGTTCTGGCTCGGGTGGGACTTGAGGTGGGCTGACTGGAGACTAACAGACAAGCAGAGACACAGCTTTTAACTTTGCAGCTCAAGAGGAGGACGTGGAAAGGAAAAGAGACAGATGTTTGGCAAGCAGTGAGACTGCAGCTTACCGGAGGACTGTCAACTGTTATAACGCTGGCGAGGACCTGAGACTGCGGTCCTGCGGTCTTCATGTCCTGCCGATTCTGTTGTCGGATCTGATGATTGACAATAAATAAATTCTTGTATAACATTTGTGATTCATGTGACAGTTTGCAGAAAATTGTGGGTGAGCGAAAAGCCCAGAAGCGAGAAAAAAGTTACCTTGTTTCGTGTCTCAATCACCTCTTGAGGGTTGGTGAAGAGAGGCACAAACTGGTTTGGATTCTCCATCTTGATGGATGTGCTGCCGGCTTGTGTCACCTCTTCTGTCTTCAACCACTAAGGGCAAGCAAAAGTCAAAACAATATCTCATAATTCACTTTAAAAGAAAATTTAGATTCCCCCCCCTTATAAAGTTTGTTTTAAAGCAGCTTTGACAATCTGGGTGTTTGTCCACCAGAGGGCACACTCTGCACTGCAGTAGTCATCACAGAGCAGTGGGCTTTCCCCTGCAATGCAGAGAAGAGGAGAGAGAGAGAGGAGGGTGGGAGGGACTGAGGAGGAGAGAAAACAGAAAGGGAGAGCCAAGCTCCTCCCACTGATGTAAGACCCCCAGTCTCATATTGTTTTTGCCTGTAAAGGCCTCATCACTGCAGCTCTGCTTCATCTTTTCTCTGAGGTACAGGGAAGTAAAAACAAACGCTCCACAGTGCACATCAATTTCCTCATGAATCAGAGAGAAAGACGTTGATTTTGGATACAGAAGTACTCTTGGTTGATCAAATATAACCAATTTATTTTCTAATCATCAGATGGTTAGTTAATTATTATGTTTCATAGTCATCGTCTTAAAATGTAGCTCCAAATATTGACAAGCTTCAAGACGTTTCTTCCTTTCCTCCTCATAGCTCACTTTAATCTCCCCCCAGTTCTGATTTCTCTGCTCTCCAGCCTCTTTATACATTTCTTTTATATGTACATATCACCACCGACAGCTACCTAACCCTCTCTCTTTGAGCGGGACACATTATATAACTTTTATGTCACAGTGCCCACAATGCTACATTGTCTACAACGTTTTTGAACTACAGTTACAACCATCACAATGTCTGGTCTGCAACTTTATTTTAGACCATGCTTGAACTCTTCTCTATACCATGATATGTTCAATAAATCAAAAGTACTGATTCCCAGAGCCTCACAGTGCTGCGATGTCCCGGGCTGGCTTGCTCCTGGCTAACTTTTTGGTAGGTGTTGGGGGTGTTGAGCCATCGAGTCCTCTCCTGCTGCTGGCGCTGGGCAAAAGGATGCTGCCTGAGAGCCGGGTGGACTCCGTCGTCATCAAACTGGTGGAAAGCTGTGGCGGTTGCAGGCACTTCCACCTCTCTCCGTGTCCGCGTTCGCTCCAGCAGCACAGGGAAGCGGTAGGCGTATCCTGTGCGGTAGCCCTGCAAAACAACAGAAGAAAGAAGCTTTAGGGTGTATACATGCTGCGTACAACATCAACTCCACTTTCCAGCGGTGTGCTACAACACACCTTTACTGCACCATGCCATGTCAAATTGTAATCATGTGCATTTCCTTTATGGTCTCTTAACAGCTGTGTCACTTGTGGGACATATGTAGTATAAATTTCTTGACTGTAACAAAATCTGCCTACCAGCACCTCTTACGCTCACTGATTTATACACATTATATTTTGTTTGTTTCATTTGTACAAAAACTGAAGTGTAAAAACTAGTTGTGGGACTATATCATGGCTGTGATTTTTTGGAGAGTCTTATTGTCACTGTGAGGTAGCAAGGCAACAAGAAAACCCCCGTTAAACCACAACTTGGAGTTTTCTGTTTTCGTACGGATTAAACAAATAAGATATAATAAATGAGTTTCAGAGGAGCGGGTAGGTGGGTTTTGTTACCTGCAGACAGAGTGAAGCTAGCGGTTTTCCCATATTTCCAGTATTTATGCTAGGTAAGCTAACTGCTTGGTGGCTGTAGTTATATATTTAATGGCCAGATATGAGTGGTATCAATCTTTTATCTTTAACTCAAACCTTTAACTGGTCTGATTGTGTAGGTGATGAGAGAGAAAGTAAGTCTCATTATGTTTAGTAGAACCTGTGTAATGCATTTTCTGTGGATTTTAACTATTATTGCTGATGCAAACATTTCATGCTGCTGCTTTACATTAAAAGCTTTCCATCAGAAACCACAAAAAGGCTTTCTTGCTATTATTGTGAAGCAGCTACAGGAAATGGAGAAGCGCTTATGCTGCATTCACATGATACAGGATAGATGGTAGAGATAAGAAAAGATTCCTATGTTTTAAGACTGGCGTTCACATCATTGGACAACTCAAGACTGGTGTAGGATTGCAAAGTTGGAGGGTTAAGAATATCGAGCTACGTTTGGGTTTAAAGTACCTTAAAGGACTTCAGCTGATGTGAGGCATTAATAGTCATTTGTCTTTTCAGGCACTTAGTGGGATAGTATCAGAAAAGTTACACAGTCGTAGTTGGATGTAGACGTGAATGTTATTTACAACTTGGACAATAGTAAATATGATATGGAACTAATGTTCTATAAAAGCTGGTCTACACAGTATGTATGGACATTTTCTGTGCTTTTTGTTTGGGGGTCAGTTTTTAAAATTGCAAGGGAGGAGTGGTAAAAGGAGCGGCAGCCACAGGGAGCTGGTTAGATGAAGTGTTTGTGAATCAGCAAACCTCCCACACAAATGAAGGAGTCAAACTTTGAAACCCTCTAAATTCAAGCAAATATTAAAAAAGGGGCCATCGAGCAAATTAGTATCGCACTGCAATGATGGGAGAGTTGCAGGAGACACATTTAAAATAAATAAAAAACAAAACAGTGTTTCAAATCAGTGCAGCAGAGAGTGAGAGATCTTGACTTTTATTTCAGTTTGTAGGTTAAGCTCCAAAAACACTGAATCATACACTACCTATAATGCGCCTCACTAGCATCTTTCATTTGTCCTGCCTGGTAAATGCCTTTCAAACTCAACGCTCCATGCCCTTGACGCCCCTGATCAGGTTTATTTTCAAAGACTTTAGAAAGCTCCCTCATGATATTATACACCTGCGTTCATAGACTGATTAGCACTCTTCATGACGAGTAAAGTGAACTTCAAGTGTAAAACTGGGGAAGTCAATCCTCACTGTACACGTTTCTCGTATAACTGTTGCCTACCAAGTTATCCAGAGTTCTCATGAGGGCTTCAAACTCATGCTCGCCGACGCGGCTCTTGTGCAGGGGCCCAAAGGTGGAGCCAGCCCAACCCACAGTGCCGGCTACGTTGGGTTTATGGGTGGTCCGGTCCAGCAGAATCAGGTTCTGTTCACCACCGGCACAGCACAAAGCCGACACCTGACAAAAAAAGATTTAGGCCCCCCTTTTTTTAAATTCAGGAATGAGTTACAGAGCTCATTTTCTCTTCCAGCAACTCTGTACTTCATACACAGATTTAAATTCAAACCAGCATAGTGCCTTGTTCAGCAGCATGTACGCCATATTTACTGTGAGAGGACAAAATATAACACAGCAACCTCCATAGATTTGAAGAATAAATGACCTTACAGTCATGTATCTGCTTCCTTACAGGCCACTGCTGGTCCTGTAGGATTGCTGCAGTGTCTCGTTGGCAAACGACTGTAGCATATTATACTGCAGTGCAGAGCTGCTGGCTGAATTACAGTGAAAGGGTATCAAGAGAAGGACAACTGCCCAGGTGTAAGACTGGTGCGTATACTTTATATACACATGCCAGCTCAGTCTCCCACTCACACAGTTGCAGCACTTTGTCTCCAGTATGTCAGCTGTTAGTCAGTACAGCGTGCCTGTGTGTGTACTACCTGGATCTGGCAGGCAGCCTGGATGTGGTAGATGGTGTAGAAAGCCTCCTCCACAGACTCCCCCAGAGCCACAATGCCATGATTCCTTAGCACCAGAACCTACACATAGAGAAATCAACATTTATGCAGGAGAATAAAACCACCTTATAACAGCTGCAGGTGATTGAGAAATGTCACTGTGGAATAAGATGGATTTAAGCTGGTGCACCAGCTTCAGTAATTAATCCAGTGTCCAAAGCTGCAGCAATCCATGTGGGAGCAGTAACTGATTAAACAGGTTATGATATCCACGTCGTCTCACCTTACAGGTTGGCCCCAGGCTCTTCTGCAGCTCCACTCTGTCCTCCTCCTCCTCCATGACTCCATTGTAGTCGTAATAAGCCACATCACCCACCAGCAGAGCCTCATGGGACAGAGGCAGGAGGCCGCACTTCATAGCTGAAACCTGGAGACAGTTAGCCGTCAGTCGAGGCAGTGAAGGTCATGAAACAGACTCATATTCACAAAGGTGAAGTCACAATGTGCTCTACAAGCAAATCCACGCTGGACAGTGATGTCATGTTATCAGACTTGCACAGAACAAGGCGACGCTGAAATTGCTGAAAAAAACTATAGAATAATATCCAACTTTGTTAATCACCAGTGATCTAAAATGTGTTATTATTAAATCTCTCATTCTTCCATGTGTGTCTGGACGTCACCAGCAGAGGCGTAATGGTGTCTGCAGGCACAAGCCCAGGCTGACTCACCGCAGCAGTGGCCGGTGTGTGGAGGTGAAACAGACAGCGGACATCTGGCCGGGCCGAGTAGATGGCCGAGTGCAGGCTGAAAATCTCTGTGTCCACGGCCGAGGTTGGTGCTGCCCTTCTCCACCACCTCACCCAGGATGTTCACCTTTACCTAGAAAACCACACAGCACCGCCTGCATGTGTTTCTCAGAAAACTCAGATCTGGCAGTACTGCTTCCAAATCAGATATGCACAGTTCTTCTAGAAGCAAAGTCATCATCGGGTCTGTAACATGTGTACACCAGTGATATTCGTCTGGAACTAATTATAACATAAGTGGCATTTGTCATAAAAAAGCAGTTTTTAAACTCATGCATTTTTTCTTGGACTTCATGCAACTTGCTTCAAATTCAAACGTATTGTTGACAAGCATTATGATGATGCAGTACAACTTCTCCAATCCTTGTTATTCCCCCCCCCCTCATGTGGGTTTCTTGCTAAGTTGTGAATGAAACTGCCAGCAGTCAACATTTGTAAGGTTTTCATTTTTAATGACGGTCACCAGGATTCACTCGTTTCCGTCTACTCTCTTATTGTTAGGGAGAAAATCTGTCTCAAAGAGCAAGAGTAGACCATTAAACACTGAAACCGTTAAAACCCAAGAAAATTATTTTACTAATAATTACAACTGAAACAATCAGTCGAGTAACTGTTCATTCAATTGGCAGAATATTAGTAGTTTAAGTCAATTATCAAGGAAAACTGATCTATTCCCTGGCTCAAGCTTTTTAAAAGTTAGGATTTGCTGCTTTTGTTTTTGGTATATAGCAAGATATCTTTG